TTGGTTTAAATTCATACCTAATAATTTTATTCAGTTACGATTGCAACTTCATTCACAAACATGTTTTTATTTTTATACTGCATTGTTATCTGTATTGTATAACTGATAAATACACAATAGATTAGATTATATATACATAGTATTAAACCATACACACAATTGACTATATCAATCCTCTTTAAGAATGAAGTTACAAATTTCTCAAAAGAACCTGTGAGAAATGACCACCCCTATTAAAAAAAACCATTAGGGATTTTCTGAGAAATCAAGTTTCTTTCCATTCATATGAAGTTAGAAATGCAAAGGATTTTTTTAATTTTATAATAAACACCAAAGGAGTCACTTTTCTTACTTTATAAGTGAGAAAGTTGGTCCTGTCATAACCATAGACTAGTTCAATTCTTCTCTTTTATTCTACAGCTGCCATGCTGAAATAATCAGCCAGAAGCCTATTTTACTTACACAGCAGGTTTACAGTTAATGCACATATACCAGTAATGGTAAATTAATTGTAGTTATATAATGAAAAAATTTTTGAACTTAGATTCTGCTTTATACTGTCTCTGATAATGTTGCACCAAAATTTGATGTAGCTCAAAATAATGGCATAAGACTCATCAGCAGAGGTGTCGTTTCAATACCTATCCCAGTTTAGGAACAGCAGACTTGACTGTTTGCATGAAAAGTGAGTTTTTTGGTAATTGACTCTTGGTGAAAGATTGCTGCATAAAGATAGTTTAGGGCATAAGTATCGCACAAGTACTATGCGACAGAAAACACAACATACCATTTTATTAAAATTGCAGAAAATATCTGGTTTCTGAATAGAGTTCCAGAAATTCCAGTTCCAGAAAATATCTGGTTCACTTCTGGCAATAGAGGCTCTGCTTTCGGACCCTCAGTCTCTCTGGATATAATGAAATATACAATCGCAATCTTTGACCTTTTTCTTGTTCAAAATGGAGTCTTCCATTACATAGAATTCAAAGCAGCTATTATCCCCCCATCAATAAAAGATACCCTGTTTACAAATGAATATAAATCTATAGCAATGGCTCAGTTGACATTACTCAGCTGAAAATAACAAGCACCACAAACATGATTTGGTATTTTCAGGATCAATGTGTGATGCACTATCCATTTATTACAGCAAATTAAAATTAATGAGAAAACATTTGCTCACAAAAACTATTCTATTCCAGTTTCTTATTAAAAATCATATTGATCAGCTAGAAAAACAATACAGATTTATTCAAAATACGATCTTAAAACCAGAATCACATGTTTTTTTCGGAAACCTTCCACTACATTCTTCACATGTTATGCTAATTGCTGGTCACTTTTATGTTCTCAATTTTTAAAATTTCACTAAATTTTGAGAATGTTAGGATAAAAATATTTAAAACAGTAAATAATTTTTTCTTAAAAATAAATTTTTACAGCAATAATATGATTTAAAAAAATTAGAAATACTCATATAAGTGATTTCAATAAGTAACTTAATAGGGGAAAAGCGAAATGCCGCTAGGATGTGCCGAATTAAAAGTTGGAAAATAATTATTATACATACTTAAATTAAAAAAAATCAAATGGTATAACAAGTTTTGACACAAAAACAAGAAAAAGGAGCATAATAAAACATTGCCTTCTAAAAAAAGAATAATAATGAACAAATAAAGTAAGACATGGAATTCATATAGTAAAAATAAACACCTATAGGTAATTTGAAAGTAGAAGAAGAAATACCATTTCTAAATTGCCAGAACAATATCATAAAATTGTAAAAAGAGGCATTTTTCCCCTGCATTTTAAAATGTCATTAGATTTATTAAAGAAAATCTAGAAAATTAACTAAAAAGTTCAAGGAATCAAAACTATTTTACCTAAATAAAATAATATAGTTTATGCATTATAAAGTCGATATGCATTTAAAAATACTGAACTAATAAAATTGGAAACTTTTTTCAAGTTTATGCATTCTCATTTAAACAAGCACCTAAAAAGGGTGACATTTAAAAATGTAATTAATTATTTTTTTTTACTCAATGATTATTAATATTCATTTGCTATGAAAACAGACAATTATAAACCACTAACTAGCATTTTCTGATAAGAGAAGTAAATAAAATCAAACCTTTATGGACATGAAAATATAATAGTTAATTACACACAAAGGAATCTAAAGCTTTCACAGTTCATGAGCCATGAATCATGTGCCATGGTTAATTTTTTTCAACACATAGCAGGATTTGAAGAAACATGGGTATTTTAGAAAAACCCCAACCCGCCTGGGTTTAATTGAAAAAACCCGGGGGAAATTAAGTTTTATTTGAAAAAACCCAGGGGAAATTGGATTTTTTCATTTAGTACTCATAAACTTTTAAGTTTTACTGTGTAAATATTTTATTTATTAAAAATTGTTGAATAAGCTTAAAAAAGAAATAAAGCCAAAGAGTTATTTTAATTTTGTTATATGTGTTTTATATTAAGTTTAAATAACGCATTATCACTAATACATATTTGAATCTTGTTTATTGTTAAGTATATAACGTTTCACAATTTTTAACTCAAGCATTATAAAATATAAATGCAGTAATATAAAAGGAACAAGTTTATTAATCTTTTTGTTTTCACACACATTTACTATATTTATTAAACATATATATATATATCCTATTTTAAAATTATAATCTGTAAATATTTATAATCAGTAAAAACAAAAATTTCATCTGACTTTTGACTTTAATAAAAAACTGAAATAAATATTTAATGATCTTTCATGTTTTTATAATAAGATTAATAGAAAGTGAAATTAAAATTATCGATAATTATAAAGAGTATCAGTTACTTGTCCCATTTTTCTCAGATAATTAACCCTAGAAAAATGATTTCATTTTTAGATAAATAATTTTAAAAAGTTCTCTTATGAAAAGTTAAAAAAAAATTTTTCTCTTCAATTTTTTTAAACATATGAATTAATAATAATAACCTGCTTATTAATATATAAAGCATGCAACTATATTTGAAAAATTGATGTTTTCAGACTATATTATTCAAATTTCTATTTGATTTAACATCATTAAAATATTACTTTTTGAAAACACTCGATTAAAGTTTTCAATAGTACTATAAAATTATAAGATTCTAGTTTCTTTTGCTTTACAAATATTAAAAACTTAATCATATAAATCATGCAACTCTATTTGACAAATTTATGCTGCACAATAAATTATATAAAAGTAAGTATATGTGCAACTAAGTTTAAAAAAAAAATTTTTTTTTGTTGAAAAAACCCACTTATCTCGAAAAACCCACTTGGAAAAGTAGGTTTTTTCAAGGTGGTCCCACCCAATAAAACCCGGGCGGGTTTTTTCAAAGTGGGCCCACTTGGCAAACCCTGACACATAGATTATTTCTGATGAATTAAATAAAAACATTAAATAATAATCTTTTTTCTACACAAAAGCAAAATTTAAAAAATTTAAAGAGAAAAAGAAAATTCTAGAGCTATGAGCGATATTTTCACATTTTGTAAAAAAGAAAAAAACACACATTTCTTCCACTTATTATATTGTACGTGTCATCACCACATAAAATAAAACAGGAATTGGGCTGAATTTTAGTAAAAAAAATTCAAAAATCGGGGGAAATAATATTTAAAGGGGAAACTGGGAGACAACATGGAAAAACAGAAAACTCCTGCAAAATCCAGTAGAAATGACAAGTATGCATAATTAAGAAATTTAAAATAAAATACTATAAAATCTATGTTTATCCTAACATGCCTGTAATAATAATTTTTTACAGTAAAAACGGCAAATTTTTTAAAATTTCTTTATGCAGTAACAGAGTGGAATATCTTTCACCAATCAGAACACAATTATGTCGAGCACTACATGCAATATTTTACTTCCCAAAATTTAATCCCATAAACACAAAGGAAAAAATGCTTACAATGCACGAGAAAATATTTCAGCAAATTTAGAAGCTTTTATGAGATTAGAATTTACAGTTAGAAAAAGTTGCATAAAGCCCTGTTCCAAGAATTATTCATTACTCACCATCCATTAATCCTATCACACACCATTTATAACACAAGTAAAACAAAGTTTCTAGGAATAGATTTGGGTCGAAACTGAACTTCATAATTATTTGAAGCCAGCTTAATAAAATGTTAGATAAGGGAAAGAAAGAAATGTTTTTCTGTAAAGCCAATATGTAACTTGGAAGACAGAATAAAAGAAGGCTAGTTGAAATAAAAATAAGCACAGAAATCTTTGCTCTCAAAAGCCTCACAATTCATAATAAATGCTTAAATTGCAAAAGAAATAAATAATGTATATCAGAAGTTTAATAGTTTAGGAAATAAAAATAAGCCCAATTTAAAGGTACCTGCTCATTCATTATAACACCCTGCTCATTCAGGATGTTATAACCTCAAAATCCCTCTTCAGGTGTGCCAATGATCATGGAGAGCAGAAAAACATAGCACTGATATGTTTAAACTCTATTACATCACAAACACTAAACTGCAGAACGTTCATAAGCTAAAAATCTATGCATGTGAAATAAATTTAATTAGAAAATGAAATGAATTTAAATTTACTAGTACTATTTTTCATTCATCAAATCTCTAATTTAAAGTTTTGAGAAATACATTATAGATTTAAAAGTGATACCTAAGCTTTACTAAACTTCCTGAAAAACCTTATTAATAGCTTCTTTTTTCAGTAATAGATTTGTAATTACTAAAATTATGGATCTTCACGAGATGTTAAGTTTTTATTTAACGAAATTCTTATACACTGTGTGTAGTACTCATTAATATTAAGATATTTAGCATATAAAAACTCATCATTAAAAAAAACCATGGACCATTGGGAATATAATATCCCAGCGGATTAGGATGAATTTCATTCTATAAATAAAAATTTTGTATTCTAAGTTTTAAGAACTAAATAAAAGAAATGAAGAAACAAATAATATGGATTAAAACTTACACTGTATTCTTTGGTGCACATACTTGTGGTGCTTGTTTAGCTTTATGACGAACAATCACACCCAATAATAAATGGGGTCTAGGAGAAGGTAGACCTAAGCAAAAATGGAAAACCTATTAACATAAGTCAAATATGATGAATACTCTATTTCATATAAGCTTAATTTGGTAGTGTGTAATATCTTGACTACTATGAGTAGGCTGATCATATGTATCATCTATACATTGTTCAAATATTTCAAAATTAAAATAATCCACAATAGCACATTAGAAACACATGATACTAAAATTTAAATGGTACAGTAGAGAACCTACTATCCGGAATGCTGGGAACCAACACTAACCTGGATGTCTTAATTTCCTAGCTTTCTTGGATTGATAGAAAATGATTTAATATAGCCTAATAATATTCTTACTTTAATATTGAAAAAAAAATAGCCCTATTTTAGTCGTTTTAGAATTCTAATTAAAATATTGTATCTTCAAGTTACTCTTTTTAGTTTATTACTTAGTAAAGCATAAGCATGTATTTTCTGATAATTTTCCTACTATCTCCTGTTAGTTGATATTTCCCCCTTGTAAGTCGAAGTCAAAAAAATTCTAACACTCGTTTTGGAAAAAAATTATATAAATAAAATAAAAGCATAAAAAAAAATGGTCAAAATTTCTCCATTCTACCCTGCAATCAATATGGCTGAGACTGATTTGAGGAGAATTTCTTTCTCAGCTTCAGGCCGCTGCACTTTCCCTACGATTATGCCATGTATTCCGATATTTTAATACAATGTAATTACAACATTAAGAATTTGAGTAGTATCGGAAAACGTGAAATTTTAAGCTGCTCACCATTTGTAATTTTTTAAAAAAAAATTTCTAACTTAGATGATTTTTTCAGAAAAAAAACGAAAAAGAAAACATTTTTGATTTAAAATTCAAGAAATCTCTGATATATACTATAAAACCCCCAAATAAATATTGAATCTTATTTTGTACTATAATGGTTTTATTTTAATCTTTGTTTAAACCATATAAATTTTCTTCAGTTAAAATAGGGGTGCACAACCTTTTTGAGTGAAGGGCCACTTGCACAGCAGGTTGGCTAACGAAGGGCCGCACATGTATTTGGAGATGTTTGTGACAAATGTAGTAATGTTTATTTAAACATTAGAGTTCCATTTTTTTATCAATAAACTTAGTCATATCAATAACTTAGTAGTGTTCCATTATTAGAATTCATTCAAAAATAAAAAAACTTATACTTTTTTTTTTACAAAAAAAAACTTGCTATTTTTATCATATGAACAATAGATTTATCAAAATAAATAAACATTGAAGAAAAGAAATGTTTTTTTTTCTATCATATGCAATACGAAAATTTATTTTAGAATTAAATTCTAATAAATAAAAAAAAACTGCAATCCCCACAGAATGAAAGTAGGAAAAAGTTTAGTCATAATTAAGTAATATAAATTTAAATTAAATATTTTAATGGAAGAAAATTTATAGGTTTTAAACAAAAGCCTAAAATAAAAACAAAACTGTGATAGTTCAAAATAAAATTAAATGCTTATTTTGTAATGTACTTTATTATTTTATTTTATTAATTATTAGATTTTTTTATATCGTAAACATTTTCCTTTTTTTTTTCTCGAAAAAGATCACTTAAGCAGCAAAAAATTGAAATCTAAACTACAAACAGTGAGCAGTTTAAAAATTCACATTTTCTGCCATTTTATGAATTTCTCAAGTTGCAATAACATTGCATTTAAATTAGGGAGGGATGTAACGAGTATTTGGCCCTTCTGTGAAAAATTCAGTTGGTTGAATGATCAGTCAAATATTCGGCAGAATATTTTTTAGAAATGTATTTTTCTAAGTTTTTTTTATTTTTGAATTTTTATAGATATTACTTTTTTTTAAAAAATTATAATCAGACAAGTCAATTTTGTCATTTTTTCGATACTTTGAGAATTGAGAAGGATTTTTTTCCATTTTTTGCTGTTTTTATTATAACCCAGCATTTTAACAGAACGTCTCATACTATTAATTTATTATCACTCTTTCCCTGTACTGTAATATAAATAACCAGTAACATAGAAAAGTGTGATTTTCAGTATTAAAGTTTTGTTTCAGGAACTAAGAAAAATTTGTTTTTTCTGTTTTTCTTTTTTTAGGCATTTTTATTATGACTCAGCATTTTTTTTAAAAATAAAGTTACTAATAAAATTTATTTTATAGCAATTTTTTTTCTTCTAAAATTATGGCAATGAGAAAAATTTAAATTGAGATTTTCGGCATAAGATTTTCACTTAAAAAATTAAGAACATTTTTTCTATCTTTTTATTTTCTTTAAATAAAAAAAAAAATTTTTTTAGACGTTTTCATTATAACGCAGTAATTTTTAATAGCATTTCTGTTGACTTAATTCTTTTTTCTTGGCTTTTTCTGGTAATTGAAAAATTGAGATGTTCAGCTTTAAAAAAAATTTTCAAAAATTAAGATTGATTTTTATGTTCTCTGTTTCGCTTTTCGACATTTTCAAAAACGTTCTTGATTGGCCTTATTTTTTAGAGTTAATTAGCGTTTTTCCAGGAAATATTATTCTGAGCATTGAAATTTTAGTTTCAGTGTTGCTATACTGCTAAAAGATTTTGCTATTTGGCCCCAAGTGAACGGCGTTCAATAGATTTTTTCTTCTTCTTTTTGCCGAATATTTGGTTTTTGATCAAATCACAATTCATTACCACATTCGACCAAATCATATTCGTTGCGGAAATAAAAAAGAAGGAAAAATAACTAGGATTTACGATAAAACTGTACGGTAATACCGTATCAAAAAGTGATTATTTAATTGCGTGATTAACAATCACGTGTCGTAATAACATCATAGTTAAATAACGGGATCGTCAAAATCACGAGGAAAAGTATAGAAATAATTAGGAAAAAATATATTTATGCTGAACTCAGCACAAATAAAGCGCGTCAAATGCATGATTTAAAATTTGCATGTCGTAACAGAATAATTGGAATTTTTTATAATACGTAGGAACGCATAGCAATAACTGCCGAGAAAAATTTTTGAAGAAAAAGAAAGAATTGCAAAAAAAAGATAAAAAATCACTTAGATTTAAGATGAAATCGTCATAAATAAAGTGCACAGAAAGTGATTATGCGATCTGAAACTCGCGTTGTAATAAAAATTCGGGATTTTCGAAATCGCGTAGAAAAGCGGAAAGAAGTGTTTAAAAAAAATCATTTATATTTACGATAAAATCGGCTTAAAGAAAGCGCATTAAACGTACATTTACAAAAGAATCTGTTAAAATTGATTGTGTGAAAACGTGATGATTTAAAAGTGCGATTAAAAATTGCCATTTTTAAATTTTTTTTAATTGTGTTTAGAAGCTCTCGCGGGCCGCACTTCATTAGTCGAAGGGCCGCAGGTTGTGCACCCCTAAGTTAAAATATTTAATTTGAATAATAATTATTACTCATCAAAATATGTATTAATTTGACATATTTTTTATACTTTCATTTTGTGAAGATGCGTTTTGTTTAAAGTTTGAATTTATTTTAAAATGATTTTTTCTATTAAGTTATCTGACAAAAAATGAAAAAACATTTTTTTTATCAATTTTTTTTCTTTTTTTTTTCAAAATATAAATTTTTGATAAAAAGGGAAATTTTTTGAAGAAAAAAAAAAAAGTAAGTTTTTTTCATTTTTGAATGAATTTTAATAATTAAAAGCATTTCTAAAAATTAAAAGTATTAAATTTTCAGGAAACATTACTGATAAATTCTAGGTTTACTGATAAAAGAAATAGTGCTTATATTCATAAATGTCTAAACACGCGTTGCCGTTAACATGTCTAAACACGTGTGCAGCCTTTTGTTATTTAACTTGCTGTGCAACTGGCCCTTCACTCAAAAGGACTGTGCACCCATAAGTTAAGTGATGTTTTGAATACATAGTTATGTCAAATAATATCTTACTTAGCTTTGGTGAAGAATAACTAAAATCATAATTTTAATTCTTCATTTGATTACATAAAATATCATGTTTGATTTCTTTTTTACTCTAATAGGTTTTGTCTTTTTTAATAGAACACATATTTTATTCAGAATAGCTAATACCTAATAACTTTTCGCCTTTGAAAATATTGCTTATAGATTGTAAAATGTCCATGTCAATATATACATATTATAAACTTACTTGAAGAAGACTTGTTAAAGTTTTATTAAAATGAAAGAAATACTGATTTTATGGTTAGTGAAAATGTTGGGGCCTCTAAAAAGCACCATGCCCGGCCTTCTTAATTGGGTCTGAGAAATTATCAAGAAAAGAAAACAAAATTTTCTTTTGTAATTGAAGAAATATTTGGTAATGTTTAGTAGGTCCTTGTGATCAGATAAAATTTGAGAGATTGATAATTTAATTTTAGAGGTGTCTGAAATCAGTCTATTGCAAAACGATGCCGAGTTGAATGTGTGACAACAGAAATACTTCCGAATTTAAGTGTATGCACTTATGGGTCTTTAAGTAATTCTTCCAACATGCATAGACAATATGGACCACAGAATGCCAATACTGATTGTAGTTGAATTACTATTGGGAAAACCAAGATTTTACGTAATTCATGGCAACAAACAGCATGGTATTTTTTTTTAAAAAGAGAAAATTAAGCACATTTTACAAGCATGCAATCAATAATAAACATCGTTAAGGGCTTTTAAAAAATGAAAATCAAAAAATGAACATCTTTAAGCAGTTTTTAAAAGTGATACGCAATCCTAAAAGAGGATTTCGTGGGCGAACCCTCAACAGACCATTTGAAAATTTTACAATTGCTGAATCACCAATTTGGCTACTGAATAAAAACAAGAATCCAATAAATTTTCAAGATAAAATAAATTTTGACATTAAACAGACAAACTTTGACATTTTCTTTCAAGCATTAAACAGATAGATTTGATAACAAAAAAAAAACAAAACAGGATTTAATGTCAAAAATAAAGAGGAACAAAAGAATTAAAAGATCATAATATCTTTTAAGAAATGGGCCCAAACTTAAACATTTACACATTTTTGCTATTATATGGTTAAATCAATTTCATTTTGTAAAATAATGGTGGCACAATAAAAATAAAAGTACCTGGACCATCAAATGGCATAAGAACAGTTGGAACTGGACTTGTAGCAGCCAGTGGAACGATGTAAAAATCTTTAATTTTTCTGGAATAATTCGAAACAACACCATATCGTTTTCTGGAGTTGAGGTATGAATAAAATGTATTGTAAGATACAGACTCTTCATCATTAGCAGCTTGAAACTGAATAATTATAAGCTCCTATAAAGCATAATAATAAAATAAAAAAATAATTAAAAGAAATAAATAATATAAGTTATTTCACATACTTTAATCGGAATAATATAGTTTATTGTTTCAAAATATAGTTTATTTTTTGTTAAGTTAATATAGGTAATCTGTTTTTTTT